ACAATCCCCATAACTTACACTACGTGGGAACTGACAATTGGCTGTAAATCATTAGTAGTTGATTAACATTAGATGTACAGTATATATACGATATATGACTTTGCAGCAGATTTTGCGAAAATATATCTTTATTATGGTGTTGGTATGGATGCATTATAATTTCTCTTGGGGTAATTTATACTGGGCTGGAAGGCATGCTTAATTTTAGCAACTGCCCTTTGAAGATTAAACATGGGCTCCAGATTTAGCAGCAGTGGAGTGTGGCGATGGTGATTAGAGTTTTGCGTGTCTGGTTGATAAGAAACTGTCACGGCTCGCACCACTGTAACTGCCCACCCAACCCAAGTGCCCTCCTGTCAGCACTCGCGCTGCGGCTCATTTTCGTGACACCCGTCTCAAGCTTCTCTGTGTGTACTTAGCTGAAGATTAATTAACGGAGCATAGCATTTTATTTTATCCGTTACAGGGGCCGTATTACTGTAATCTTTCCCTTCCATACATACATTGGCCCGCAATCCGAATAATTTACACGACAAATCCGCTTTCATTTATTCAGCTGAACTCGGCCAGCAATCATTTTTCAATTAACTTGTGAAAACCCACACTGTGAGTTAACCGCCTTGTCCCGAAGTCAAACAATAACAACAATGCAAGAAATGTTGTCGTTCCAAGCCGCTTTGCCCAGGTCTAGCTATTTGAATAGTACAGCGTAATGAAAACGAACGTACAGGATATTAAATATGGTATTTTATTTTGGAATGTACAGGATATAAGGTTTGTAGGAAAAACACGGAGGGTACAGAAGCGTGCTTATATGACTGAAGTTCTGAACACAAACACTGCCGTCTATTGATCAAATCCCACGTACAGGAGAAATGCAGTCTAGGTAGATCATTTATTCCAGACGAGAGAAAAACAGCCCTCTCACAAGCAAGCACACCTTGGCTCTAATTGCGAGTGTCTGGTTTTAATATAGAGCTCAAAACAGTACATTGCGGCTGAGATGTTGCAGTCGCCTCTCTTAAGTGGCCACAGTGGAATCGTAAAGAAATTAAAGGCTGTCTATCAAGATGCAGAATAAACATTTGTTTATATTTCCACAACTGAACTAAATGTTGAATGTGGTGTACTGTATATATATAGTCAGTCATGCTATCGATGTTGCCAGTGTGTTAAAATTGTAATTCATATTGAACTACATTTTGTATTAAAACTGGCCTATTTTGTTCAAGTCATAAGTTGCCTTCGCCAATTGATTATCAATGAGTGCATGTTGTGTCTTGAAAAATAAACCCCTTATTGTGTTAGGTTTTTTATTCCACCCAGCTGCTCACTAAATAAGTTTGGCAGGCCTGATTACAATTTGTGAAAGCTCTGGTCCCAAAGCCTGCTGCCAAAATAAGCATCCTTCATGCCTGGAAAATGTGAGGATTGGGTTTATTGCATTATTATATTTTCACTTGAATTCCCTCTCCCAGTCATCCCGGCAAACTTTGTTAAATAAAAAGAGGATGGAAGAAAAGCAGTGAGACACGTACCGCGTGGCAAGGGAGCGAGCGAGTGAGCAGACACGCTCGCTTGCACATTTACACTCGCACTCACTGACACGCACGCACGCTCTCACACAGACACACGCACACTGACGCACACGCGCTCTCTCTCTCATGAGCCTGGAAAGGAAAAAGGAAGGAAACCCATCTGCAACAAATTACGTCGGGACGGCCCCAAAATAGCAGTGGCGGGCAGCTGGCAATGGCAGGGAAATGGAATCAAAGGGCGTCTTAGTCATCAACCCGACCCACACACAAATGTCTTGTTGTTTGCTTAATCCTTGCCACCCCTTCCACCGCATCTGACTTCTACCGTGCAGGGGGCGGGCGGGCGGGCCGGCCGTGGAGGACTCAAGGGTGGCAGCACCCAAGTCGTTTCTGTTTGTCCCGCCGGGTGGGTGGGGCCTCGGTGGAAGAGCGTTTATAACGCGGGGTCCAGGGTGCCGGTGCCGCCACCGGGGCCGGCGCGTTGTCGGGGAGAAAGCTCCCTTTGTGTGGCGCAGCCTCGCACCGCCGCGTTTGGGAAATGGTTCTGTCGATAGGCTTTGTTGCGCCCAGCAGTGTTCCTGGACTGCCATGGTTAAGCACATTAAACGTTTTTTTGTTGGGAGCACTGGTCCCAGGTTCTGCATCTCAATTACCGCCCTTGATTGATTGTGTCAGACTGCTGAGGCCGCCGCTCAACTTTAAAAAGACACTTTACCGTCGAGAGCAACCCCGCCAGTTTTGAACCTGCATGCGCTTGTAAAAAAACACATATTTGTGCTTTAAAAATGACGTGTCGTTTTTGTTGTGCTCTATTATTATTCCAGTTTAGTTTTAATATCTACCTAAAATAATCCTGCTTAAATAAGGATGAGAATTCGGAGTGAGCCTTGAGCACGGCGGCGGTGTCGAGTGTGAGTGGCGGTTTTCATTATTCACCAAAACGAGGAGCTAGCCTTTCACAGCAAACACCGACGACGACGTTGCTCACAGCGGCCATGTCGCCATGCAATCTGACACCTCGGCTCAGACAAAGCGCCCGCCGCTCCACGACCAACGTAATGACCCGGCCTCGGCACCGCCGAGAGCTCCCCCCCTCCCCACCCGCGTCCACGCGGGGCCTTCCTGCAGAACTTGTCATGGGTTTTGGCGGATGCAAGGGATGTCATTAGACGGGTCTGCCCGGGCCCAAGGGGTCCGGCCATGATTGGCGCCATAATCGCAGACCGCAGCGGCGGCTCCTTTTTTTGCGCGACGTTGATAATGGCAGCGTCTGCTTGAAATAATTTCTCTTTTTTTTCCATTCTCGGATCTTCACTGCCGATTTTAAAATGTCAGTGTCTGGAGGCTCCCTGTGATCCCTACTGTGCGGCCTGGCATGTTTGCGGTCTGCATTCTGTGCAGCTTCACCCCGTGCATGTTTTTTTGAAGACCTCTTGTTTTTATTTTCATTAAATTTTTCCTCTATTTTTTTATTTTGTGAAATTGACCCAATTTTTTTTCCACGGCTTCTGAAGCACCAGGCCAGACATTCCTTCCCTTGAGGTCTGCCAACTCGAGGCTTGTTTGTTCCATAGTGGAAACTGTTCTCGTTTAAAATACACAACGGTTCATAGAGCGTTGTTTGCAGCAACCACTTATCAATACAGTATCGGTGTAATAAACTTTATCTTTTTTACCATACAGATTACACAATACAGTACAAAAAAACGAGCTTTTCTGAGGATGTAGTCACATTACGTAATGTCTTTAATCTGAACTTGAAAAAGAAATGTCCGCAATTTAAACAAATCAGTTTGTGGAAATTACATATAATCGATGAATATCTTTCCGATTTTAATGTTATCAAACACGTGTGAAATATGTACCTGGACGCAGATATTCCCGAGTCTGACTCGGAGCCTAAAACTGGCAGCACTTAACCAATTAAAATCTGACTTAACTGTAAAAGGTTAAGTGCTTGGTTATCAGCGAAGGTAGCTGGATGGTTTACAGAGCAAAGAGGATTCTAATTGGGTTGTCGTACTGCATTTTTGCCTTAGATTCCCGGGTCAGATGTGAGGATCTCGCATTGAGCAAAGGAGCTGTCTGAACCTGCACCACTCGATGTAATGAGTGAATGTAATTTCTCCATCTTCACTGTGCCTCTCAAATGGCATTCAAGGAGAGATGCTTGGATGTGTGGCACAGTGATAATAGCAAGAAGGACCTGCGTTTGATTTCTAACTCGGGCGACTTTGTTAAGTTTGTGTGTTCTCTCCCCGTTATGCAGGGTGTGAGTGTGTGTGGAGTCTCTATTCTCACCCCCCTCCCTGTCCTGCATGAGTTTCCTCCGGATTCTCTGGTGTCCTCCCAGAGCTAAAAGAGAACGTACAATTTGACTGGTCGTTGACCAAAAACATCCGAATGTTGAATAACGACCTGCAAATTCCTCAATTGGGATTACACGCAGCAACACGCCTTGGCGATCTGGCAAGCTGGCTTTCGCAATCGGAAGGTTACGAGTTCAAATATTTGTTGGAGGGACTGTTGACTCAGCCCATCATCCGTTAGGGGTCATTAAAATAAGTACCAAATTTATGAAGAATAAAACAGCAGTTGCTCTGCAGAGAAACTCGCCCCTGCCGTAGGAATGTGGAATCCCACCACTTTGACCAACGATTTTAAGTTGCCCTCGCTTTCATAACCGGGGATCGGGTCACGTTATATCATGGGCCGTGTCGACGCCTCTCCAGATGCGCTGACCGTATTGGCCAAAACATACCAATGCTGGAAAACGACACTGCAAATGACTCGCTTGGGATTACACGGCCGCAACATGGACCCTGTACTGTGAAAACTTGGCAGGAACCTCCTGAAAATATCTTGAGACTTATTTGTGATGCTTTCATGGGTAAATGAGCATTATACGAAAATAATAATGAAGGATCATGATGATTATCGGAGCATGGTAAAACATATAATAGCTCAGACGTCATCACCATCATAATCATCACCAATCCTCTACTGGTCTTGTGATGCCACAATTTATCTTGTGCTCGTGGGCTGATGTCATTCCTTCCTCTGCGTTGGTCCTTGCCGGGCTCATTCCCTCCTCTGGCTGCCATCCTGTCACCTCGTTGTCGTTGTTCAGCCATCGAACGCTTCTTTGCGATGCATCCACCGCCCAAGCCTACTTACTTTCTTTCCTTCACTGTTGGTATGAATTACGTTGGGTTTTATTTCTGTATTTTAATGTAATCCGAAGCACGCATCGCTCAATATTTCTTTGCGGACTGTTTTCCAGCTTTTGTCCCGTTTAGTTTGTGAGACCACGTATTTTATGGGAAATGTAATTTCTGACAATTGACGAACTTGCGATCGTTTTGTCTTGGATTAGTCTCAGTTGCATTTCTCAGTTGGATTAGTCTCTGTTTTTTTTTAAAAAGAAACTTTTATTTTTGGATGTGTTCCATTTTCTTGCAGATTTACCTCTCAAATCCTGGCACCCCCATCTGCTCAGGATCACGAGTGGAACGCTGAACATTCTTAGGAACCTCACGGCCTCCCAAACGTGAGTTACGGCACAAAAATCCATCCTACTCAGGCTGATGAACTGTGAAATATGCCGTGTGTGGGAGGAAATATAATCAGACAGACCAGCAGTTCACAAAGTTCTCTGGATTAGTATGCTCCCTCCGTTATTTAGCGGGATTCTAGGGGACACTTGCAAATAATGGGAGGCCTGGGGTCACACGTTTCTGATGATGATGATTGCTGCTGATGAGACACTGAGGGTCGAAACCGGTCTAGAGTTTTTCTTGTGTTGAACCATTGCTGCTGAACTGTTGCATTCCCAGAAGGCCATATGGCTGATGGGAATGTAATTGGTGTTACGGTGCTTGTAGCTATCATTAGAGGGACATGTCGCCTGCCCAAGTATTATAACATGACCAGCCAAAAGCAAGTTATCCTGTTTGGATGTCAGTATTTTGTCTGTTCAGCTATGCATGAGCAGCAGCCACCATAATCTTGCTCATGAACTTTCAAAGAGGATGAAGTGTTTTCTGTAAACGCTGCGATGCAACACGAGGTGTGAATCACGGGTTTTATGTGGGTCATTTTTGTGGGTAATTTTCGGTTTAAGTTGGGTTGGTCCAAAACGACCCCCTGTAGGCCAATTTTACTCACATTCTTTAACCAACGGAAAACCGCTGGTCTCCAAACAATTCCAGGGTGCATATTAAAACGCCAGTACCCATCGGCACCCTGAGTGTGTGACGTAACCCTGACACTGGAAAAGACAACTCGGTTTGAATTTCTTGTTTGGCGAGGTTTGGATGAGTGGACTTTTAGCCAAAGTAACTGTCAACCATGCGATCGATTTGTCTGGTTTTCGGTGCGGGGTGCGGCTTAACCGAAAACCACTTTAACTGTAGACGGTTGAATCGGTGCGAAACAGTTCCAAGAGATTCGGCTTCTGTTACTGGTTTGTTAAAACCTGGTTTAAACGGGGAAAAACTTGCATATTTTCTCAAAATTATCAAAAACTAAATATTAAGGTACACGCGATAAATACTCGGCATTGTGCAATTGGTATAGCTTAGTTTGATTGCTTACTGTGTATGCATTGCACGTACTATACTTTCGATCTGGCATGAATGCATACACCTGAGCATCCAACTATGCAATAAACATTGAAAAGTGTATTGCTTCCTTTTATAAACACAAAAATGTTAACCCACCAAGTTTTGTTTCGATTACAAACATTGACATTTAGTCATTGGGCACACTGTGGCTGCGACATGCCCCAGCGGTAGCGAGTTGGGCCACTCGTTGCAGAGGTGCTCGCGGTTTAAACCCGGCACGCCGACCCGGCCCTACGACACCTTCGTCACCTGTCTGTTTCTGATGATGTTGATGATGATGTTGATGATGATGTTGATGATGATGTTGATGTTGTTGATGATGAGACACTGGACGTCAAAACGTGTGCAGAGGTTGGTTGTGTTGAACCGATGCTGCTGAATTTGTGCACACCCAGAAGACGGTGTGGTTGATGGAATGTGTAACGGATATTTTTTTTATGTGGATGGAGAGATAATGTAAAGAAGGCCTATTGTTTGCTTATTTATGTTGTTACGTATATTCTCCACAACGATGCTAATTATAATTTTGTATAGCTACTAATTAAGGGATGTTTAAAACATTTAAGAGTAATTATTAACTTTGGAAACGTGCCCCTCTTGACCCCTCAATGCAATAAGCGTTGCGTGAAGGCAACTTTATATACTTTGTCGTCAATAATTATCAGTCGTGGTCAATCCACTGCTGGACAAAGGCCTCCCATAGCTGCTGGAACTTCTCACGATCGTTTTTGTTACCCATTCGGCAAAGTTTAAATGCAGCGTCGCGCCGTGCTGCCGAATGATTTCCATTGCTCTATTATATACGTCGGTTTTTTTCTGTGAAAGTAACTCAACGTAGCCGCAGGGAGGGAAGCGCCCATCCCCAGCGGCAGCGACCGTCATGTCACCCTCGTCGTTCATCACAGGGCCGAGCGGCACGAGCTGTGGACGCTGTTGGTGCAGTGTGGCGACTGGGCCGACGTGGTGCTGCAGGAGACCCTCACGGCGAGCCCTGGCGAATTGGACACGCTCTTGAGCTTCCTCGGCTTCTACCACTGGCCCTGGCTCACTGAGCAGCAGCGATTGGACGCCCAGGTACACCGCTGGCACGGCCGTTTGCTCCTCGCTCTGTACGGCAGGCTCCACTTTGTACCCCAGACAAATAGTCTTCTTCTCGTGTCCTGCCACCACAGCCATATGTTCATCCAACATTAGACGCCTGATGATGTTTCCCGGTCTGTAGCCCTGGTGAGGTCCTCCTCTGTACGTAGCTCCTGACAGACCAAGAGATGCTCTTTGGTCAATGTTTTACCACCGTCGCACGGGTGAGTGTCGTCGAGAGTCGCCCCACTTCCGCCCGTTGACATGTGACCTGCCGACTCCCACTCGAATGCGGTTTAAACACATCCAGGTCGATGGATGGTTTTTTTCTGCACCAGCAGCGAAGCGCTGGGCAGCATGTATGTGCTTTGTGACATCCGTGGTTGTTGTATTGAGCCACGTATGCCACGTTTCCAGTCGTGTAGCCGTCGGTGACTTTTTTAAGTGGTTCCATTGCGGCTAAGAAGCTTTACTGGCAAACATTGTAAAGTGTAGTTGACCATATGTAGCAGATGGTGTGTTCTCTCTGTGGCTCAAGAAATGAAAAATTAATGTTCAAATGATCGCTCTCAATGGGGGGAAATGTTTAGCCAAAGGGCTTAGAGATATTAGCTTTTATTTTGTTTAACCAGGTGAGAACTCAATAGACCACGATGAGTCATTTACAAGAGTGACCTGGGGTATAAGTTTGCCAGTAGAGGGCGATGATTGCTATGTATGAGTCTCAAATGAGTATTCTGCTGTGTGTTTTAAGAATGTGGCACATTCGACACTCAATTTTCAAGGACCACTGTTGGAGTCTCATTCTCATCACCATCATCACCACCACTGTCTGGCTTCCGGTGTCTCTTCCCGTTGGTCACAGACCGTCGGGTGCCACTGCAATGCTCTTCTCGGCAACCTGCTCTCCTCCACCTTGCACACAAGTCTCACTCATCACAACCTCCAAGCTGCTTACCCTCTCCCAGTCGCTGGCACACAATGGCCCACTCTTGCCAAATGACGTCAGGGCATCTTGAACGTGTCCGCTGTGGATCGGACGGCGCACATCGCCGCGGCTGCTGTGACTAGAACCGTAAAGGTCTGCAACGAGCGGCAAACGCGGCGCTGCCGCTGGACCACGTCACCGCGACGGGAGGCGGTTCCACCGGGCGAGCCGTGTTGTGGTTACGGAGCAGCATAAACGCCGCGTGGGTCGCCACGAGCAGCTACTTTGAAATGGCCGTGACGCCGCGAGGATTTGTGTTCACCGGGAGCCATCACCGACGGAGAGAGTTGTATTTTCTCCTCGGATTTTATTGAGGCAGAATTTGACACTCGTTAGAAGAAGAAAAAATTCATGGAACACACTTGTCATAAATAATTAAGCTGTTTATTTAAATTGAAAGAAGAGACTAGCTTTGGGCAGTCATATACTTTGCACGCAGCAGCTGGTGTTAACGGAATCCTCCAGCCGTGTGTTGTGCTTTCAGCGGATGTATCACATTATCACCGGCCGCAGCTGCTAACCTGCCTTCAAGAAATGTAGACTGCAGGTCTGGGAGGCAGCCTTTCCCAGTGCTCTGGCCCACGCAGGAGTTTTGCTTTTGTGCTCCCAAGGCCAAGGCAACTGAAGTCTCGATGCATCACCCACATCCGCCTTTGCCAAAGAAGCAATGATCTTTTGTTTGTCTCAACGTGTTTATTTCAGCTGTCGGTTAAATAAAGATTACAGCGTGCAGTAGTGCTGCATCTGAAAAAGAGTTTAAATTTCGGCCTCTTGACTTCGGGAAAGCGCGGCTATGGATGTGTGCAACCTATCGGCGTCGGTTTCGATTCAGAAACGTGCCTGTGTACTTTTAAAACAGGCCCCCTGGGTAGATTCAGTGTCCTTTTGAATGCAGACGTGCTAAGCAGTATATGGCCTCAAGGTTTTTTTTTTCCCTTGGAGTATATCAGGTTACAGGCCTGTGTTCAGTTACTGTGGGAAACAGCTGGAACTGCGCAAAAAATATTATTGAAGTCCTGTCCAGAAAAGTTTTTTTTTAAACGTCTGTTATTTATTTAGATAACATTTATGTAATTGCATTTTGGCTGAATATCAGGTCAATGATTTCCTTACTACTTGTGTTATTGTATCGTGTGTCTAAGGCTGCCTAGCACAGATAGTTTCTGGCTAATAAAGGCCGACCTAAATGAACAGTGATGTGAAATGTCGGAGCCCTCGTGCAGTATTCACTTCAAGCCCTGTAATGTGATATTTCCATCCTCTCCCCCCCCCCGTAACAGAATGTATTAATTCAAAGCGTGTTGCCGTATGCCCGCGTGTTCTTTTTGACAGGCGTCTCTGAAGGCGACGTGCGTTTGTCTCCGGGACCTTCTTGATGCGGACGGGCTGGATCCCAGTGACGTCACGGCCATCCTGCCGTCTGTTCACACCCGTGTGACAGACGTCACCAATCAACTCGCCGTGTACTTTCTCATCTTCGCGGAAAGTGGCCGAGGAATTTCGGAAGAGGTTTTGAAGCAAGTAAGAACCACGCGCGTGCGTCCCAGCTGACGTAACAACTAACTGCTCGTAAAAGAAAAGTGGGTTTTATTTGACAGTTTGCTATCATGTCCCTTCACACAAACCCATGGGTTCGCACCAAGTGAGTTTGGACTGCAGGAGGTACCCAATGAATGGAAGGAATTGGAGCTGCCTGCATTGGCCACAGCCTTCTGTTGCTTCCAGTGCCTCACATTCCAAGTGAGCTTTTTTGCTGAAACCTCACATTTCTGAGTGTTAGTTTTCATCGGAGATGCACTGTCTTTAGTGGTGTCCAGAAGCTTTTGTTTGGATCGACCTCCTGAATGTCGCCGGAAGAGTTTGGGTGACGTTCACACTTTGGTCTCAACTCCAGCTTGCGTGTTGTGAAAATTAAAGAATATTTTTTTATATGCCAGTGTGTGAACAAGAGGTAGCGCAAAAGGTGAAGTGTCGGTACTCCCACCTCTTCCAGGATGTATGGGTAATGCGAAAGAGTAGGCCAAAATACACCAGCAATGGTGTGAGCAAGCAATTTCAGGGTGAGCCTTTAACTCGTGACCAAGGATTTGAAAACTACGTGCTTTAAAACATTCCAAGCACCATTATTTATGCACTCGGCATAGAATAAAAAAAAACATATCGATGCTTTACACACTCGTGCTTTTGCGAAAATAAAGTACCGCACTGTCATAAGTTGCTCAATTCCAAGTGTGGGTTTCCGGGTCACGTGGGGTGCTGAGCATTTCTTCTCTCGCGCTTTCGCCAAAGCACTGCTCCACTGCGTGCACCTTCACGAGTTGAACGATTCGGGGTACTTCGTTAATCCGCTGCTGATTCGAGCGCTTACCCATGCTGCGCCTGTCATTGGGGTTGTGTTCCCGTACTTCACCACACCTTTACCGGTGGGTTCGTATCGGGTGCGGCGGGGGGGGGGGGGGGCGGGCACCAAGACCGGCTTCAGATATCAATCGCCACTGATGTTATCCGCGGCCGGGAATTGAAGTGAAATCATAAGATGCAGAGCACAGTGTGCTAACCATTGCGTCACCATTGCCTTCCTCCTGCATTTGCTTATAATTTACAGAAAGTGAAAAACAAATAATTAGCCAGTCCGGGGGATTTCACAACTGAACAACTGCGTGTCTGGTTTCTGGAGTAATTCGAGCCCTATTAAATGACATAATATCTTAATACCTTATTTACCCTATTAAGGTTCCAACTCGTGTGCTTGTTGTGTTAAGGATTTGCACGGTTGTGCTCAACAAAGGGAAATTTCCAGCTAAATTAGGGGTTTACCATGTGCAGCCTTTTTTTTAATGATGGCAGGATATTAATATGGGCGGCACGTTGGCACACTGTGGCAAGACCCGCTCCTTGGGTGCGACGTGGGAGTTTGTATGCTCTCGCCCCTGTTCACCATGGGTTTCCTCCGGGTTCTCTAGTTTCCTCCCATTGCTAATAGAGAACGTACAATGTCATTGGCCAAAACATCCGAATGCTGAATAACGACCTGCAAACTCCTCGATTGGGATTACACGCGGCAACACGGCTCGGAGATCTGGCAAGCTGGCTTCAGCAATCGGTAGGTTGCGAGTTCAAATATTTGTTGGAGGGACTGTTGACTCAGCCCATCATCCGTTTGGGGTCGTTAAAACAAGTACCACTTTATGAATAATAAAACAGCAATTGCTCTGCAGAGAAACTCGCCCCTGCTGTAGGAATGTGGAATCCCCACCACTTTGACCAACGATCTGAAGTCGCCCTCGCTTTCGTAACTGGGATCGAGTCACGTTACATCATGGGCCGTGTCGATGCCTCTCCAGATGCGCTGCCCGTGCGAGCTGGTGGACACGCTGGCAGCTGCCGCAGCCTGGGTGGAGCGTGCCCGCGCGCAACCGGGGGACCCCGCCAGCGCCCGGGCCGCCGCCATCGTGAGACGGGTCCTGAGCGAGTGGCGAGGCGACGAGGGTCTCGGTGTCCCCCGATAGCCCAGGGGAGCCCCTCCTCTCTCAAGCACAGTACGTCCGCTTGACTTCCCGTCACCGGCTTGCGGATTCTGGTGATAAGCTCTTACGGTGTATCACTTGCGCCTCACAGCAAGATCCACCTGAGTATGATCTTCCCCTGTTCAGCATGGGTTTCCTCCAGGTCCTATAGTTTATTTTTTTCCGTAGCTTAAAGCATACAATATACATGGTGTTGGAAAAAACATCCCAACATAGGACCCTCCTGAAAAATTAGTCTTCGGGTAAATAAGTCATTATAATTTGTACAATCTGCGTGCCAACGTCCAATGTCCATCTTCCAAATTGTTTTGGTGCAGTGTAATTTAAAAAAATGTGAACGCATCCCCTACGTTTGATCTTTTTGTGGGTGGGATGTTGTCGATTAGGTTAGGTAATGCAAATGAAGTTGCCATGTGTGATACATGTGTGCGCTCCTATGGGGTGCGGGGTGGCACAGTGGCTGGCGCACTGCACTGCGAACTTGGCTGCCCGAGCCAACATCGGAGACAAATATCCAGACCACTCCTGGGCCTCCCCTAGGTCGACTCAACCTTCAATATGTACTTTCTGCGGTGTGTATAACACATCAGCAGCTGGGGAAACAGGTGACTGGGCGTGGTACCGACCACCCAGAAAAGACAATTTGGTGCTCTACCCCTTTAAACAAATATATTTTGGCAGCAAGACAACGGGAGATGTAATGTGTATCTTTGTATACACTGTGTGCTGAAGTGCAATTATTGTTGAATGGTTAACAGACATTATATATTTATTTGCAAAATGCATAGATGCCAAGTTTGTGTTTTTACAAGTGAGTCGACCTTGTTTAAAGCAATGCCATAAAAGTTAAGAATTTTGCATGAAGTAATACTGTAACATGAGTGGAATTTAAAAAAAAACGATGTTAATAGTTTAATTATAATAAAAAAAACATGATGCTGACTGTTTAGTGGAAAGAAACACAGTAATTGTGAATGGGAACATTCATTAAAATTCGTGGCTGAGTAGAGCAGTCGTGGTATCCACAACGCCGCGGCTCTCGAAGGAACGGAGCAACCTCTACAAAATGGTTGCCGCGAAGCCCATAGAGGAGGAGGAGGCGCGTTGCTGCCTCTTCTCACCGGACGTGAAAGGGGCCCGTCCAGGCACACCGGGAACCCGTTCAAGCATACCCGGATCCGTTCAGGCACAACCGGACCCATTCAGGCAAACCCGGACCCGCGCAGGCAACCCCGGATCCGCGCGCCTCGCAGTGAGTCACCGCCGGGCTCTTCCTCGGCGGGTAATCTGTACCGAGGCTTTCCCTTCCCTGACGCGCCCCAGCCACCGGCAAGTCCACGGTCGCCTCCAGCGAGTTGATGGAATGAATGGCCGGGCTTGTCCATCTCTCCCCCCCCCACCACGCTGCATTCCGGTCCCCCGTGACTCACCCGTCCTATATAATCGGGCCTTGCGAGCAGGGGCGCGGTCACGCGGCAAAGTGACTCACAGCAATAATACCGGGGAAAGGACCGAGGCATGTGCCCCCGGTGTAGGGTGTGGCTCCTTGTGCTCTCACGCGGGCAAATTCGGGCGCCTTTTTTTTTTATGCCGCGATTCCGAATAGGCAGGCGATGGCGGGGGGGATGATTCATCGCATGGCTACAAATAAAACCCAGGCTCGTCCAGGCCTCGTTGTGCTGCGGTACCACAAGGGCGGTGCTCGCGGAATGACTCAGAGAAATAATAATATTGGAAATTTGTTCAAGTGCCAGTACCTTTGTTAGAAGGTAATGCAACGAACACAAAGCAGTCCGCAGAGCCTACTATGCATGGACAATGTTAGACAAAATCCATCGTGAGTCACTTGGCATGTTATTGTACATTCAGTGGAGCGTCTTACTCATTGAGTTTTTCCAATGAAAAAAAAAATCGCATTCAAATGCTGTCAGGAGTCTTCACTCAGCTGTCGTTAAACAGAGGAATTTTAAGGTGTGGCCTTCGTAAATTAAAGTATACCAATGCCAATTCGAAGCCGCAAACCTCGCGTGAAGATATGCGCACAAACACATCAGACCAGTGATGGTACGTTATTGGGAGCAGAGAGCTGGACGATGTAAGGAAGTGGGGGGAGAGACAGCGCGTGAAAAAGTAGAAATTCTCAGGCTGCAATGGATCGCCGGAGTGACGCCGAGAGACTTCAAGAGAAGTGAGCGCGTCAGGGGATGACCCGGGGGATCACCGAGTATCGCCGACAATGCTGGGGAAGCAAGACGGAGGCAGTGCGGCCGTGTGGAGGGCGGTGAGGTGTGGTGGAAGGGGTGGGGGGACATCATACGCGGAGGTTTAAAGTGGAGATTAGAGGAAGCAGAGGAAGAACAAAGATGTAATGACAGTGGCTTGGGTGAAAATGAGGGAGGGAGGGCAGCCTGGAACAAGAGGCAGCCACTTGGGAGCATAGACAGCATTGCAGTAGTCTCAAGTTGTTAATAAATATAATTCATACTCGAGTGCTGCTGCATTAAATGATCGTCTGTAAAAAATGAAAAACCATCCCTTTGCCATTTTCATTTAGGAGCTTTGCAAAAGAACAGTCGCCATAAGTGGAGAAGGGCTTATTTTCACAAAGGCTTCGGCACGGACGGATTAAGTTTCGGTGGAAATTGTTCGGTGGTCGGCGCGGGCAATTTAATAACGGCAGAGCTGTCAAGCCGGGTCCCCAACCCCCAACGCGCGCCCACTGCCCCGCATCACCTCTCCCCCTCGAGCGCCGCCGCCTCGCCTCTTATCCGCCCCGCACCGCCACTGCCGCGACCGCCGTCAGTGTCCCCTGCGTGTTTGTTCGCAGGTGGCATGCGGTGGGGTCTCCCGGTTTGTAAAATGCAGTTAATACTTTTTTTTATTATTAATGCATTGTTGGGTGTTTGTGTGTTTTTTTTCGTTCATCATCATCATCGACGTGTTCTTCCCTCGGGGGAGTTTTTGGCGTGCAGAGGCCAAGGCGGCGGGCTGCATCTGCCTTTTTGTAGCTCCGTGTAATGGTTGTAATAATTAACCCGACATGCCCAGAACCTTCCGATCTTGCACTAACTATAGCAAGGGGAAATGTAAGCTGCTAAGCCTATTAGAAACATGTATATCAGCTTCATTTATTTACATGGATGTTGCTTAATAGTGGGGTGTATTTATATCGGAAAAGCCTCGCTGAAATTTCATTAATAATATTTTTTCGGACCGTCCCGCTCAGCATGTTTCACCAATGTCTCGTCGTGTGTGTGCATGCGTGCGTGTCTTTTTGCCTTGAGGGTGGAAACCGGAACACCCAGGGAAACCCAAGCACCGGGCCACACTCGAGTAATAAATCTGCTTACTTTGCTACCTTTTGCAGGTGCTCATTGTCCTGCACGTGGCTACTTTCGCACAGTGCTGTCGGCTCCCCCCCCCCCACAGTGCCATCCAACTCCAAATTAGTTTTGTTCTTTAATGACAACAAAAAATTGTTGACAATCGAACAACTTTGGTGCGTGGATTTTTTTTCTACCCGTGTCCAGCATTCGCATCATCTCAGTTGACAATAGTCCTGAAAGAATGATGGTCAAGAATGTGCCCATGGGTTTGCGTGTCTCTCGCTCCCCGTGGTCGAGTGGAATTTTTCTCTGGGTCCTCCGGTTTTTCCCGCCACATTTAGAAACATAAATTGTATTTAGATTATTTTGGTGCTATAAATGTCCAAATGATGGGCCACTTTGTTGAGCTATCGTTTGTGGCCAGGTTGCTTCTGAAAAATAAGTTCGTGCCTCAGTGGGCTTTGCCTGGTAGGATGGGGATGGTTTAGTTAAATTTGTATGTGTCTGGGTGATTTGTTTACCTTTGTACTTTGCACTGCTATCATGTTTTTGTACTGTTTGTTGTTGTGACGTTCTTACCCGCCCCCACTGGACATCTGTGATAAAGAGCTTTATAGGTCATTGGATTCCTCTGCGATAAATATTCTAATTCTGTATATTAGTGTTGGTGTTTAAGTTCATATTCAGAAATGCACACGAGGATCTCCTCCACTTAATCGTCAATGAAACAAACCACCTCCGCGTGACTTTACCCAATAGAACCGAAGAGTAGGGTACGCAAGACTTGTTGCAATTATTGCAGCATTTTCTCCAGCCGGCTTGAACTTCTCTCTTGCAATGTTTTTACAGACTATTTGCAAGGACCAGAGGCCTTCCGTGGCGGTGTGTGCAGGCTTGCGAATGCTGGGTACACACTCGGGAGCAAGGAGGCGGCTTGCCTGTGTAACCCTGGCTTGGGGCTGTGTTTTCATGGCTGAGTGTTTGCAGGTAATTTTAGAGAACATTCCCCCCCCCCCCCGATCCAAAAAGAAGCTCCCGTTGTATTGCTTCTTGGAACACTGTATACTGGCGGGCTAGCGCCAATTGTTACTCCCCTCCATACTTTTTAATAACGGACGTTAATTATTTTAATTGTTTTAATCTGGGCGCAGGCAACAAATTGCCGTTGAGCTTTTACGAAGTTTTTTTGTTAGTTTTAAACCCAAAGTCGAACAAAGGAAAAGAGTGTTTCCCTAGGTGGAGGCAACCTGCTGTTGGAACCAGGCTAACGATGTGAAGTTGATTACACTCACTTGCAAGTTAACGTGAGGGGTGGGGGTGGGGGGACATAAAAATATAAGTTTGGAGGCACTGCCATTTCTACAATAGCCCACGGTTTTATAAAACGTTTCCCCCGTGGAAGGAAGACGAAACAGTGTTCACAATTATAGTGTTAGTCCGCTCAGAAACGAACGGGGCGGGGAAATCGCCAACTGTTGTTCCAGGTTGGCATCCTGCTCACACGAGCAACGACGAGGATGGTTTCCACAAGCAGAGGCCGCTCTTGGTGCAGGTTATCATCGATGAGTGGCAATGTTCAGGCATGCTGGTCACTGGGCGGGCTTTCTCAAACGCGATCATACGATTCTAGAGCATCGCCATCGTCCACACTTTACCGTGATGAGACTTGAACTTTCATTAATGTGAAGAGGAAAAGCAAGTGTGTTGATTGGGTGCAGGACGTTAACCCGAAAGGGCTGCATTCTCGCACTGGTTAAATTTAGCAGATGAAGTCGGGGCCAAAAGAGTGTTGATGCGTTTTTTCAGCCCTCTGGACCAAAGTAGCTTTGGGGTTACTTCTGCCCGGGGACTCCGTGAAGAACGAGAGACAGGCAAGGCCACGCTCCGGCTACACGCATCGCATACCCACCAGCGCAATTATCGCCTTATTATGAAAGCTGAATGTAAAATGACGTGCCTGTATTTTCATACTTATCCCGTGCCCCAGACTAGACGTTTGTTTTTGTGTGCTTTCAAAACAAGAAAGTGCGCCAACAGGAACTGTTTGCAACATTTGTTTTAGGAGAATATTTGCGGTAAGTTTAATTGGTATCCCGTGGTGGTGTTGCACACAATTAAGTTAGACCGCACAAGTACTTCCAGATTGACGATCTTATCCCCGTGGTGGGGAGGTGGTTTTCTAGCTACCATCGAGATCTTTAAACCGACCCTATTAATCACAGCCTTGGCACCGTCGGATAATTTACTCGTCGGCTCGAGGAGTTGTATAATCCAGGCCCGCGTTGTTTATGCTGGAAAGGCCAAGCTCTGGTCGACGGGGAGTGGCCGTTATATAAATCGAGTAGTTCCCTACTTAACGAAGAGCAACCCGGCACATTGGCACGGCCCTTTCACGTCGCCCGGTGATATATGCTGCCCCACGCGTTTAATTTCCCCTCCCCCCCCAATTTGTGCAACGGGCGTTGCTGCGAATTTACTGCGCAGTTAGCAGTGAGTGGGTGTTTAATTTCGCGTGGCATAAGGCGTGGGCGCTATCGGGCCCCCCCCCCGCCTGATGCCTGTGTGGCCTCGGTCGACGGCCGACCCAAAGTGGTGCCGCTTGGATCTGGCAGGGGGCCCGCGCAGGTAATTGCATCATCGGCTTCACGTGGTCGCGCACGCCGCAAAACGGCCTTCTGGGAGCCAGCTTTCGGGCGGTCCCTTGTGCGGCAGGAATTCCGCGCAATACTCGGAACACTGTGCTTCAAAAGTTGCCATACTCGTTCACGTGAAGGATTTCTATTTATTTATTTATATTTGTGCTTGCTTGTTCCATAATGTGAGCACTCAATGAAGTGGAATCGGATCGTCAAGGAGTAGAAGCGGCACGTAAACCAGAGGTGGGCACCACCTAGACCAGGGGTCGGCAGCCTGCGGCGTTTTAAGGAACTGCTTCGTCGTCGTTATTTATTAAGGACCACCACCGTCTCGTTCGCCGCGGCTCTCTAAATATTGAGGGGTTTTTTTTTTACCAAATAAAAAAAAGTCTCTCCCTGTTATTTTGGTTGCCCACCCCTGACCTAGACACTGCCTCTCTGGCCTCTCTCTCTCTACCTCTCAGGCCCCTCCATGTGCTGTGAAGAAGGGCCATCGCCACGAAACTTCATCCAGTCAACGCTTTTTGTTATGAAGGCCACAGTGTTATTGACGAATGTGTTGAGTGCTTTGTTTTTTGTGCATCACTGCCAACGCAGTTTCACTAAAAGTTAATGTTAATATTTCTTGAAGGTTAATTAGGATGTCTTGATTTAAATTGGCCCTCGTTATCCAGAAAGTGCTGTATATCGGATGCAAATTAATTAATCCTGGCCTGTACTTATAGAATACTCGGAGAACATTAGATGACATTTCATATTTTTTATTAATATTATTATTTAGACCACAATGAATTACTGCCAAGCTCATGCAGATACATCTAAAGCAGGAATAACTGCCTGAAAATATCGACACGAATAAGCTGTCATAAGACGATCATATATTCTTACATTTTCTCGTTTCTTTAATCATGGAAAATGTGTGAGTTTGTTTTAAGTGTAAACGCCGCCAAATATAACCACAATTTAATATTTAACTTCGATTTCACGTTAATTTGTGTTTGCGCATTGCTTTTGATCTCTCGCGTGTGAAGGCGCGGTCGATTTTTTCCCCCCCTTCTATTTGTTTAGTAATTTCGGTGACCCCCGGTCACTCTTGTCAGATGGGACTCTTTCGTTGGTCTCTTGAGTTCATACACCTGCTGAAAGAAAATCAACAGTCCCGAGATGTGTGCGTGACACCAGCAGAGTGCCTATCCTGTGCGGGTAAAGCTACCGCCTATTTAATCCACCCGTGGGGGGGGGGGTGGAGGGGGGGGGGAGCTTTAATGTCATTGCCGCTTGCCCGGTGAGCTGTTCGATCCCTGGGTGGGACGACATGAAAGCCGAGTGTCAAACCGCCCGCTGATGAGTATAAAAGTGTTCGTGGAAAGTGGGGTTTTTAAAATATTAATAATAAAAGTGATGTCACGCCCTTTAGATAGACCTAAGAGATGCTCGCAGCCAGATCCGCGGTGCACAAATGCAACAAAAAAAAACACCAGCGGGTGTTGGGGTGGGGTTGTGATGTTTACCCCACAATATGTGGGTTATAAATCACAAATAAGCACAGTGCAACCCGAGGCCTGATCGACATCGGTTTTGATGTGTCCGTAAATATACGTGACCAACCGGCTCGGCGGCTCAACGGTTCGGGGGGGGGCGCGAAAGTCGGAATGGTAAGAGGTGAGCGAGTTCAAATGATCCTGGTCGGAGGGTTGACTCGCCCCATCACCCCTACGGGGTTGACAAAAACGAGAGCCGCTTTTTGCGCGAACTCTTATGGCCTTTGGAGAGACTTGCCGCCGTAGGTGTGCGGGATTTGCAACCGCTCGTTCGCGGCTGTAAACGGGGAGACGTCAAATTCAAAGTTTCCTGCTCGAGTGAGCGTCGAGGCGCGTTGGTGCTCATATCCCGTTCACAGCCCTGCAGAGCCCGAGGTGGAATATATGCATCCCGATGGTGTTGGTGAGTCTGTCCAGCCGCTGGAGACAATCCACAAAGCGGTACCTATTTTATCAACCAACGGAGGGATGTTGTAAATGAGCAACTGCCCCAATAGTCGCCTGAGCAGGAAATAACTTTGACCCTTGACTTTTAACGTACTCGGAAATATAGGTTGCCAATCATAAAAGTCCCAACATTGGCCGCATAAATCCTTCGGTGGATTTCAATTTTGTGTACGCACTATGAGAAGGGCCACCTTTAGTGTTTGTTGGCCAGGGCCCCCCCCCAGAGTACGTGTGTGCACGCGCGAGCGTGCGAGCGTGCGAGCGAGCGAGCGAGCACTGTTTGCCTTTCACTTTTATTTTCTCGCGTTATTTAACATTCTGGCAAGATCCCACGCTGTTCCTTCCTGCCGCAAGGCGCGCAGCTCTAGGCGTGGAAAGTATCCAGCGGTTCTCCAGCAAAAACAGGAAAATAAAACCCCCGCTTTCGTTGCAACGGGGCACAGTAGACGGCACGAAAGCCGGTCGAATGGTTTCCATTATGCGGCGGTGGCGGCGGCGGCTGCATTTAGCACTCAGACTTTGCAGACGAGCAGCCTCGCTCGCTCCGGGGGGAATGCGCTTGGCAACTCGGAGCTCGGGAGTCTCAACGCTGCTGCGAGCACCGGCGATTATTGTTGTCTGCACAATATTTATAACTCGTGGAATTTTTTTTCCCGCCCCCCCCCCCTTTAAAAAAGTGTGTTATTTTTTCATTTCCGCAAGTGCTTTTAATTATAAATGCTAATCGTGTTTCTCTGCCAGTGTCGGTTGGCAGGGCAGAAAATGTGTTTTAGTTTTTATTTCTTTTTTAAGCGTAGAAACGTTTTTAAGTGGCCAAATGTTGTCCAGGGGAGCGACGAGCTGAATGCTACACCCCGAGCGCCGTGGGTATCTTACCTTAGGGGTCGGTTCGTTTTTTATCCCAGCGGAGAAATCGCAACAACAAAATTAACTCGACACATTCGCCAATAACACCGTCTGGCCTTTAGAAACATGCGTTTAGACTATTGAGATTATTTTTCTGTGACGAATGTCCAAATGATAAGCCACTTTGGCTATCATTTGTGGCCAGGTCGTTTTTGAAAAATAACTGAATGCCTCGGTGGGCTTTGTCTGGACGGAGATGGTTTAGTTTTATTTGTATGTGTTTGGGAGATTTGTTTGCCTTGTACTTTGCATTCCTGTAATGTTTTGGTATTGTTTGTTGTAAGGTTCTCATCCCGTGCCCCAACTGGACAGCTTGTAAAAAAAAGAGCTTCATAGCTCGTCGGATTCCTGCAGTCTAAGTAAATATTCTGATTCGAAAAATTATAGGCGACGTTTTGAGCAAAGGCTCTTCCTTCTTGCCATGTGTGTGTGTGTGGGTGCCGTGGTGAAGGGACATTGCCCGAAACGTCACCCATTATATATTTACGTTATCTTTTTTAAGTCCACGGTGTTGTCGGCAAACGAGTCGGGCCTTTTCGGTCATTGAGCCTGCGCGCACCACTGCAATCACCAGAAATGTTTTAATGTTTGATCGTCTCGTCTATAAATGTTTGTTGCTCACTCACAAGAAAGCTTGTTGCGTGACATATTCTCATTTGCCGTCGTTTAAACCCGTGCAAGAAGACCACGTGCCGTCGTTTTCGAGCAAATTGGTAAATTGAAAACTGCTTTCGGACTCATCCTGTGGGTAGAATATGTAAAGAAATGTTGTAATACAGTCCGGGCGATGCGTCTTAACCCAATAACAGGGTTTTGTGTGTGGGAGCACATGGCATGTCCAATGAGGAAGACACGGCACACGTGCGACGCTTGTCACGCTTGTCCAACACATCCGTACTCAGCGCACCCGTTCAAAGACTTATCCGTCGCTCCGTGTCAACGTCAGCCACGCGGAGAAGACGATACCTCTTGCAATAGTGTTTATCTCCAGTCCATTGATGAACACAGGGTTGAGGATTTCTCTAAGGTTAATGTACGAGCATTGTTCACGTTGATTAATTTAAATGGGAGGAAGATAAGCCTCCGAGAGCAAATGTCGTGTGATTGTGGCGATGAGTGTTTAAGGAGGCTGCGCGGCTTTGCCGAGGAGACTCGTGGTGTGCATTATAAATTGTCCGTTGACAATTCCTGGGATTTATGTACACAATTTCCTTCGAAAGTTTTATTTTTTAATCTGTAGCTGCTCCCACGGTGTTGGAACCACCCTGGCGTCTTCTTTTCCTGACCATCTCCACTCTGCGATCTCTGTTCCCCCTACGCGTGGAGATTCTGCATTCCCACGGCTGAATCCAGGCTCTCCGTAGGGTGCGTATGTGTGTATGTTGCAATTCTTTCGCACCGTACGTAGCCAACCGTGCTAATCGGAGGTGTGGTAGAAGGACAACAAACTAAACACAAAGAGCAGTTCTAAGAAAATGAGTTTTCAATCTGGATGATTTAAAAGTGCATAGCTCCAGTGACTTCCTAATATCGGAAGGAAAGAGCGTTCCAGACGGCGGCAGAAGCGCATCTGAAAGCGCCGCGCGATGCGTTGACCGTCTTTGTCCGATGGCCAGCCGACCGAGCGGTGTTCATGTTGTTGAGCCCAGAGGGATGATGATTGACGATGATTGGAAGTGTTAGCCCACTGGCTCGGGGATAACCTGACAACTCTGACAGCAAGCTGAGCACTTCAGCTCCGATTAGCACGGTTGGCTACGTACGGTGCAACAGAAGTTCAGCATACGTACGTACTCCAGCCACAGCACTCACCGACCTTCTTACGAGGGAGACCTTGTGTAACACACACATGCTCTGGTCGGCTGCCCTTTTGGCAGGGCGTTCGGTTAACGTGCTGTAGATATAATCGCGGAAAAGTTTAAGAGTATATTCTTTGGTTCTTTCGGTAAAGTAACGTAGGAAGAAAATTAATTTGATTAATTTATTTTCCTTCTACGTTACTTTACCGAAAGAACCAAAGAGTAGGAATAGGTTTTACCCTTTTAACTGGCACAAAAACTGACACCTTTATTCAAGGCATCATGTTTGCAATGACCACAACACAAGCAGTCAAAATGCAAACAAAAAGACAACTCTGATAATAATATGTACTGTCCTTGAATTTGATTGGTCCACACCCGAGACGGCTTTTCTTAGAGCCTAGTCTCCATTGGTGTTGGACCAGAAGACGCCAAAAGGCGTACAACTCAAAAACAGCGCACTATCAGAGTATTGAGGTGCTCGGGGTGAGCATTAACATTATGAGACCTCCTTTGCCAGAAACAAGATATAGGAATAGGTTTTACCCTTTTAACCGGCACAAAAAACTGACACCTTTATTCAGTCACGAAAGCTCCAAATAAAGTTTAAGAGAATATCGTCCAAGTTAACTTTTGTTACTGAGCACGCGTGACTTATAACGCGCGACACTTTTCCGCCGCCGTCGTCTGCCAGGCCGAGGCAAGTCCGCCGCATGGCTCGCGATCGGCTTTTCCTGGGGGAAAAATAAACTTCCGCCGTCTGAAAACTGCCGCCGTGCCGGGGGCATTTCCGTGGAGCGCTCTCCGATTGGTCTCTCCACGGCCGAGCCCGGTTCGCCGACGTTGCACGCTGGCCCTGCGGGCTTGCCACGCTGCCTCGCGCGGACGGTGGGCCCTCTTGGCTTGGCAGCCGCTCGCGCTGCACCGTCCGCCTCCGGCTAGCACGTTCGGCTGCGCACGGTGCAAAAGAAGTTCTACGTACGTACGTGCGTGCGTGCGTACGCCCACGTGCTCGGCACGCACAGCTTTTGTAAACCAGCTGTGCATGAACAAACATCAGACAACATAGGCGGTGCGTCTCCTTCACACAGCTGTCCGCCCACGTAAGAAAACAACTCGAGTGTTTCTTACACGGCCCCAATCAGCCCGACGGGGGGGCCTCCCTGGGAGTGAATAATTTCGGGACCGATGATTCGGTGCGAGCAACGCTCTTGAGCGTTTTTGACATTTAAACGTCTCGTCAGTGGTCCGGCTTGCTCGAATCAATGCTGGGGAGAGGGCAGGAGTAGACCAAACGCCCTGGAGAGTTCACCCTCCTCCTGGAGGCTAATCCGCCGGCAGCGGTGATGGCGAGCGTTCGCAGGGCGGCGCCTTTTACCAGCTTTGAATGACGACGCCCAAAACCGGCGAATGCACGTTTTTTCCACGCATAAAATGAAGGGATGACATCCAGTGTTGATGTGCGGCTGAGTTTGCGCGCGGAGTTTAAACGCTCGCGTGCTCTGCCGACCGAAAGGAAACGACTGCGGAGCGATGCCTCCAAGTTAGCCTTTTTTTTGTCGCAGTTTCATTTATTCATCTGAACGGCAGAAGCCTTTGTTTCCTTTGGCATCGGCGAATATTACACGCGAGGAATCGCTTCCCTCCGCTGTTATTCTGCCTACTTGGACACTTAACCGCGCAAAGAAAATCGGCTCTTAGAGCGTGCACTGGCGATCCCTGGCAATCCGTTCCCTCCTCGTTTGGCTCGGAGAAAAGCGCGCGCGGGCGGCGTACGCCAAGCGAGTAGTGCCCGTGCGTGTGTGCGCGCGCGAGCGCTGGACTTGAAGCTGCCACGATTAAATCTGAATAAGCGCTTTGTGAGCAGCAAAGATGAATAAAGATTAATAAAGAATTAAAGCTTTCGTGAATGCATAAATTACTCATTGGTTTTTTTTTCCGGTAAAGTCGCGTATGTAGAAATACCATGAAATTATATTAAAATAAATCAGTCAGGACGTTTCGACCGCAACACAAGCGATCTTCTGTTGTGGTCGAAACGTCGTGATTGATTTATTTTAATGAATAAAGATGTTTTTCGCTGCCATGGCAGAGCATGTGACGCTTCCAAGGAACCCTGCAAATCTCGAGCGCTAAGTTGGCGGTTTATTGTCCTGCTTTTCTTTCTCCGCACACTGTGCGGCAATAATGCTGTTATTCTTTCGATGGCGATAATGTTAATGGGTGTAAATGGGAGAAAAAAAATGTGACTTTCATTTCACGTACCCTCTCCTCCCGTTGGTTTCGGTGGTTATTTCACCAATGCTACCACGACTGGTGCAGGCTCGTCTGCAATGTGTTTAGTTTCGGAGGCGAGTGCCTCGGCGCCGCTTTTCATTTCGAAATTTTGGCGACAGGGGCAAGAATGTCTCGCAGCAAGAATGTCCCTGGTTTGACTCCTGACCCGGGCGCCTTTCTGTTCCGTACGGATGTGTGTGTACGTTGGAACTTATTTCGCACCGTACGTAGCCAACCGTGCTAATTGGAGGTGCGGGGGAAGGACAACAAACTTTTTTCTCCCACTGTTTTGCATGGGATTCCTCCTCCCCATAGCTAAAAACAAACTCACAATGTAACTGGTATCGGCCAAACGAGATCGCAGTGTTGAAAAATGACCTGCAAATTACTCAATTGGAATTAGAAGCGGCAACATCGTCCCCCCCCCACGCCCCCCCCCCCCCCCCCCCACTATGGCGAAAACTTGGCAGGACCCTCCTCAGAATGAGTCTTGAGGCTCGGTGATACTTTCCTGGCTAAGCAAGCATACCATGCATAACACTTGGCGTATTTTGTTATTTAATTCAGTCTGGTTCATGCTATGTACCTGCAATGCAATCGAGGCAAGATTCAGTGTGGGGTTTGAATGATGGGTGGGGAGCGGCCGTATCCTTGTGCATGTTCTGCTTTGAATTTTTTTTTCCAACTCGGGAGCAAAGGAGAAGCTGGAACAAAGTGCAATGCCGATAAGAGTTCAAGCGTTCGCGCGTTTCACTTCGCGACATTTTTATTTCGTGTGCAGTAATCACAGCAAACATTCCGTTGAGCAATTCCCGTGACAACGTTAACAGCTCTTGCATGTTGCCGAAAGGCAATTTTAACTCTCGAAATTTTTTTTTTAGCAAATTCATCGGGGAGGGGAAGAGAAGTCCAACGCCTTGTTCCCGTCGGCGTCTCTCTGCGAGCTCTTACCGAGAGCGGACACCGAGGTGTGGACGAGTCTCGGTATGCAGCGAGCATCGGAGCTACGTGGCGTGTGAACGGCATCTTGTGCCACGGCAGGTGGTGGCACGAGTATGTGATGAAGCGGCTTTTGACATCCCCACATGTCCTTCCCACTTACCACCTGTCCATCACGGCTTCCAACCGCAGACAGAGTTGATTAGTGTTTGACGTCTCGGTGGGTATCTGGCATCTTAATTTTCGTCGTGTGCTGCCATTGATGTTTACCTTATCCGAGACCCAAACCACCGCACCACCTCCCCCTTGGCCTTGGCATTCCTCGAAGCAACTGGCGTGATGACCATCGACCGCATCGGAACAACATCGACGGGCCGATGCGCGCATCTCCTCCGTGAATGGAAAATTACAGACGATTGCCACGGCAGTTTGACTGTGGCCATGCTACTCCCACTATGGACCGTACAGTAAACCACTGCTGTCTGCGCTCCTTCAACGCAGGAGGAAAACTACACAAACTCCATTTGCTCTAATTTCTGTTGGCTTCATTGATGTACTTTATTTGTCTTTTGCTTTAGGTGTCGTTTGTGACCCAGGTCACTGTAGGAAAATGCGACTCGCATGCTGGTCTCGTTGATCCTCACCTGGTTGAAGGAGACAGACTTGAACGTGACCAACAATGCGGAATATGTCACCTGAGCAGGTGCAGAAGTAATAATCCCCGGACAGATGCAGAACTTAGCCACTGTGAACACTTATCGTAAAGCGCTGCTCACAGGTGGGTTAAGCCCTTCACCGGACCGGGACGCCTTCGCTCGAATTGAATAGCAACTCTTAATTCCGTCTAAGTTGGTTGTGAATGCAGCTGCTGGCTTCTGGACGCGGCGAGTTGTGCATACCAGCCGTGTGCCCTTGGGAGATCACTCACCGTGGACACGAGTTCACGCAGAGACCCATAGACTCGCACAGAGACCCATAGACACACAGATCCATAGACTTGCACAGAGACCCATAGACTCGCACAGAGACCCATAGACTCGCACAGAGACCCATAGACTCGCACAGAGACCCATAGACTCGCGCAGAGACCCATAGACCCACACAGGGTTAGTAGCGCTACCGATCCACCTTTTAGTGTACATTTTATTGCACCTGTTGCTCCTAACAATGTTTAAACGAGGACTTGAATAGTGTTTGCAGGTAACGACAGTCGTCACCTACATGCACATCGTTTGCAATTGCCGTGATACTTTTTTGGGTAAACACTCTCACAACTTGCGCGCGGAACGACCAACGCCGTCGCTCACTCGTGACTGCGTTGTTTCGTCGTCGATCGCACGATCGTGCCGTGCGAGGAACGCGACCCTTGCACCGCGTCTCCCGTCCGCTACGGTGGGTCGGTGGCACTCCCGACGCCGCCGGTTCGATTCGCGGGCCCCCGGCCCCCACCGGAGTTCCCCGCGCCCG